ACCAGCGCTGACTACGCAATCTGGCAGCCGGACTCGAAGACAACGCCTACCGCTGGCTTTATGGATATACAAGTGTGCCGCTACATTTTGTTGCATGCCGGTGATCAGTTTTGCTATCTGTGGCGCCAGGAGGCGGAGGCGTTGAAGCTGCACGAGAATCCCGACGGTACGATTGCCTGGAAGAAAGCCGTGCAGGGCATACGGGAAATCTGCGATGTCTGCGATACAACGCTATTCAACTATCACTGGACATGCAGAAAGTGTGGCTTCGGTGTATGCATCGATTGCTACAAGGATCGCAAGGAGGGACTGCAAAACAAGCGGCGAGTCGAGGCTCAGCGAGGTTACGATGCCTACCACTGGCTGCTCTGCACCGACAGCGATAAGCAGCAGCAGCATACGCTGCCCGAGCTGATGCTGACCCAAATTATTGCAGGCGATGCACTTAATGTGCTCGGCCGTCTGTTGCACGAGGTGCGCACTTTGTGGCAGGTGCCGCAAGTGTGYGGCTGTCTGCTCAGCAAACAGCAGGTGAAGGACGAGCAGCTGACGCAGCTCATTCAAGACATGATCAAGGAGTCACAGCTGAAGCAGCAAACCAGCGCCTCTTCCTTGGCCACCGCTCAGAAGGTGCAGCAGCAGCAGCGGCTGGAGCARCTGCACGCCAAGAAACTGGAATTCGCCMGACAAAATGGCATTGACTATGTGCCCGGTCGCGTCTGGACCAAGGAGACACTCGGCAAGGATCCCATCACCAGCGCTTTTGATAACTTCAAGCACATAAATTTTTTGCGTAAGGGCCTCGCCGGCTTGCGACGCTTCTTGCCACCACGCGCCATGACCCTGGTGCACTCGACGCAACTGGCGCCGGGTGTTCCCCATGAATGGCTATGCGATGGCAAATTGTTGCGCCTCACCGATCCCATGCATCCCGATAATCGGGTACTTTTCCAAGAGGTGTGGAAATGCGGACAGCCGGTGATGATATCCGAGGTGGCTCGCTCGCTCAATCTGGMCCTATGGCATCCGCAGGCCTTTTGCCGTGACTTTGGAGACAAACCAAACGATTTGATAAACTGCCTGAATGGCAATTTGGTGCCCAATCAGCCGATGCGCCACTTTTGGGAGGGTTTCCAGTGCATGCACAAACGCTTGCTCGACGCCAATGGCAAGCCAATGCTGCTGAAGCTCAAGGATTGGCCGCCGGGCGACGATTTCGCCGAAATACTGCCCACTCGCTTTGCGGATCTGATGAGGGGTCTGCCCATGCCCGAGTATACGCTGCGCACTGGCAATCTCAACATAGCCAGCTGCTTGCCCAAAATGTTTGTGCCTCCCGATTTGGGGCCGAAGATGTACAATGCCTATGGCTCGGCACTGCATCCGGATAAGGGAACCACCAATTTGCATCTGGACATATCGGACGCAGTCAACATAATGGTCTACGTGGGCATACCCACGGATGAGGACAGCAAGCCCCAGCTGGCGGCCACACAGCGCGCCATTGCACTGGGCGGCTGTGAATATATCACACGGGCCCGTTGCCAGTCGCCGGATGTGCTGCCTGGCGCACTGTGGCACATCTTTCCCGCACGCGATGCGGACAAGATACGGGATCTGCTKAATCGCGTCACCCTGGAGAAGGGCTTCAGGCTGGAGCCGGACCACGATCCCATACATGACCAAAACTGGTATCTCGACGACAAGTTGCGTGCGCGCCTGTTCAAGGAGTATGGCGTCGAGGGCTATCCGATTGTCCAGTGCCTGGGCGATGCAGTCTTCATACCTGCCGGTGCACCGCACCAGGTGCAGAACTTGCACAACTGCATCAAGGTGGCCGAGGATTTTGTTTCCCCGGAGAATATTACCCACTGCTATCATCTGACCCATGAGTTCAGGCGGCTTTCGCATTCGCACACCAATCACGAGGACAAACTCCAGATCAAGAACATTATCTATCATGCAATTAAGGACTGTTGCACTATATTGACGCGTGCCCTGGAGGAACGCATCGATCTGGAGTTGGCCAAGGCACAGGCTGGGCAGTAGATGCGATTCCATTTCGGGTTTAGGATTTTAGTAGTATTATATAGGCTTCTGAAAATGTACTTTATAAATGGAATATGTGTTTATTTAATTTATATTAAAAAGGAAAAAAAAACACTGAATATTTGAATTTTTGTTGCTAGAGGAATTTCTGTTTTTCTCATTAATATTTCCTGTACCCATGAACCTCTGCTGTACCGTACATCCGCCTTTGCTTTCGGTGCAGGGGGAGAAGAACAATGGATTCGATGTGCTGTATCATAATATGAAGTACGGGCTGGTGGCCAGCAAGGAGCTGTCAGAGTTTCTGCGCGAGAAATCGAACATAGAGGAGCAGAACTCGAAAATGATGTCCAAGTTGGCCCACAAGGCCAGCACGGGCACATTGAACAGCACMTTTGCACCAGTTTGGACCATATTACGCACCTCGGCGGAAAAGCTGTCAACGCTGCACATGCAAATGGTGCAGAAGTTGACGGAGCTGGTCAAAGATGTGGCCAAGTACGCCGATGAGCTGCACAAGAAACACAAGTGCGTCAAAGAGGAGGAATCGCACACGCTCGAGTGCGTCCAGGCCATACAAACATCAACAGTTGCTGTGCAAAAGCTGCGCGATTTATATGCCAGCAAGGTGCTCGAGCTRGAAAAGCTTCGCAAAGACAACGGCTCCCACAAGGATGCCGAGAAGCTGGAGAGTAAACTTAAAAAACTGCAGGAGGATTATAAAGCGCTACTCGAGAAGCATAATCCGATCAAGAACGAGTTTGAGCGACGCATGACGCAAACGTGCAGGGTATGTGAGGCTGCAAATTGTAATATGATATAATATAACAGCAAATTCTGTATTGCATTGCAGCGTTTCCAAGAGATCGAGGAGGTGCATCTGCGTCAGATGAAAGAGTTTCTATCCACTTACTTGGAGATGCTGCAGAACAATCACGATATGGTCGGACAAGTGCATTCGGACTTCAAGCGCCAATTTGTGGACATGTCCGTTGATAAGCTACTCGAGCAATTTGTATTAAATAAATATACGGGTCTCGAGAAGCCCGGTACGTCTACTCTATTACATCGTTCTTCAGAGCTGTTATTAACATAGTGTTCATAAGCAGGCTTAATAACAGTTGTCGGCTCTGCAGACAATAACAGCACTTGATCAATAATTAATGCTTATGAAAAATATGTTAATAACAGCAGCATATATGGTTTACATACATGTTAATTAATCAAGTAGTACTAAACTATATTTAATGATACTAATTCAAATCTTTTTGATCTACTCACAGAGATGCTCGAGCTGGAATTTATTCCGCTGTCAAATGCATCGCGTCTGCAGCAGCCGCCTCAGGCAACAGGCGCGGCATCAAATTCGAATTCGGCAACCAGCATTCAGGCTGCTTTGCGTACGGGTGGCACAGCAGCAGCAGCTTCGGGTAGTCTGGTTTCGATGGACCAACGGGGCGGAGGCGGTGCCGGTGTTGGCGATGCACTTGCGGGCATCTCATTGGGCAGCGGCAGTGCGGCCAGCGGAAGCATTCCCTATGTAGACGATGCGATGCTGGGCAGCGTGGGCGGTGGTCCGTCAYSGCCACGGCCCACTTCGCCGGAAACGTTGGGGGCACAGCCGCCGCCGCCGGTGCCGCCACAAGCGAGCAGCACTACGTCAACGGTAAAGAGTCTGCGCTCCTGGTTCTTA